AGTATTTTTTTAGTGCCAACCTTGCTTTCCAAAATACTACAGACACAATAGTCCAACGGATTGGTATCCGGAGATTTTGGTGGCCATTGTGCGCTGGAAATGAAGCGAGGAATCTCATTTTGTAACCATACTTGGGTGGCGCGTGCGATGGTCCTGAGTCTTTAACACAGCCTCCAGAATATTTTCGCGATAATATTCGTCATTTATTCTGAGGCCACGGTCGATAAATACATGCGAAGAGCGACCATCGGTTGTTATAGCGACCCACACAATCACCATAGCCAACCGAAGGTGCATATCACCTGACCTCTTTGGCAAGTAAACACGTTTGTTTACAACTGCTGGACAACGAATGTTTTCTCATCGGAGAAAACCAAATTCGGCCAAGCGAAGCAATTCTTTAGCTCTTTTGAGTCGGTGTAAGTTCTTGCACTTTTTGGAATTTCAATGGCTTTACTCCGAGCTCATTTCTAATATTTGGATTTTTTCTTAAAAAAATCAAAAAAAATTGATACATGTGTAATTTTCCCCCAAATGTGTGACTCCATATGTAATACGCAGTTTTCTTGGTGGCAACACTGAATTCAGGGTTCTATAGTTGGAGAGATACGAGAGAGAGAGAGAGAGAGAGAGATAAAATACCATATTCACATTTTACTAAATATTGAGTAAACAAATACAAATGTTTGAAACATATGACCATGGCCCAAGTACAAGGTCACCAAGCTGAAGCTACCGCTGAAATCCTGATAAGCCTGGCGAGATACCCTAAATGAAAATATATCCCATGTTGATGGATGCCTTGATCAAAATCAAGAATAAACTGAATCCCACATTGATTTTCTGCCGACCTCGCTGATGTGGTGAGGGTATTTGTGGTTCATGTGCCACTAACATTGCTCATACACTCTGGGTGCAGTCCTGTGGTGACGACGTTTTCATATCGAAAATCGTTTCCATAATTGTTAAAATCTGTACTCTATTTTCACAATATAAATAAAAATAACCCAATACTGCGTTTATGAAATGGCATAACATAGTGATATAATTCCTCATCTCAAATTCGAAGTATTACTTATGTCCTTCAGTGGTGGTCGGTATTCTGGGACAGCTATAGGCAATTATCTAATTTTTTCCGCGTTTTACTACAGGCTCCATGTTGAAGTGGTTCGAACACACCTGCGATGTGGGTGTTAACTTCACCTGTGATGTGTACTCCATTTTCCCTCATTTTTTTATCCTTGGGAACGACAAAAATGAACTCCTCCCTGGCACCTTAGTTTCTTTTTGCAAGTCTTTCTCAGTGTAGATTCCTTAAAGTAGAAACAAGTTTTTTGTTTTTATAGTTTTGATCGCAATTTTTATATGTATGTTTTTCCCGTTCTCTTTACAACAAATTTGAAATGGCCCATGGCAGAAGAATACAGGTAGATGCATCAACGCTTGGGAGCATTGATATGTCAAAAAAATTTAAATGTTTTTTTCAAATTTAAGTAGATTTGTATATGTTTTCTTATGCTAAGTCATTCAGAGGCTATTATAATTCGCATTTTTCAACAATTTTTACAAATTTGAATAATTTTTCATTCAACATTTTCAATTCCAAAATTGGTTTGACAGTTCATTGTCCCAGCAGCTGTGTCGACGCGTCTACCTATATTCTTCTACCATGAAATGGCCAAAGAAATATTTTCGATAACAGTAAAAATCGTATTTTCTCGTTTGATGATTTAATTGACAGATTACCAGCTGATTACAGCTGATTACCAGCTAAACTGGAAGGGGGACCTTCTACTTGGATCATGTATATGATGTGAAATATCCGATTTCTTTTCAATTTAAAATTCCATAGACATTATTGAAATAAAAATACTCTAATTACTTTGACTTTCAATTTACTAGTTATACCGATTTTCATTATTTTAATCTCAGTACAAATTATTCTGAAATAATTTTCCCCATGAAAATGCGTTTCTTTTCCAATATGCACCAAGTTTATGTGGTTTTAGGTAATCGTAAAATTTTTATTTTATTTCCTTTCTCATGAGAATGACCAAAAGTCGTAAAAATAGCTGTGGTAGCGCTGCCTGGCATTGAGAATCAAAGAAAATGTGGCGGCCAATTTGAGTTGGAGATTAAAGGCAACTGCTTACCTTGCCTTAAGACAGTACACGAAGAAAGCCATTTTAACCGGGCGATAGCAATAAAAGCAATTTGGTCATTACATTATTGGCTTCTTTGTTTCTTCTTTTGTTTTGATGGTATTTTTCTATGCGATTTCTTCCAATATAGCAACCTGCAACTTATAGTGTTGTTTTGATTGTTTTTGTGGTTGTTTGAAGAAAAAAACAGCAGAGAATGCGGCTTATGTGGCGTTTCCACTGCACTTGATTCGCTCTCTATTCGTTGTTTGACCCTTAACTATGAAAAAACTACTTAATTCTTCACACAAAATTTCCTGAGCGAACACTCATATTTGTACATAGTTCAAATCAAATCACTCTCAGAACAACGAAAAAGTATGTCCCATCCCTAAAAAATGAGAGCATTTATCGAAAAAATAAATTATGACATTTAAAAATTAAACTAAAAAACTTTAATGAAATTTTAAAAATTTTAAATTTTAATAATTATTCTTTGGAAGAAAAACAATATTTCCTTCTATTCATATTAGTGAGAATTTCATGTATTTTTGTATAAATTCCCATTCAAATCAACAAACAAAATTTTTGAAAAAATGAATCATTTTACTATGAATTACGAATCGTGCCGTATGAACGGGTTAATTCGTGTACCTAATTCTGAGAGCGAACAACGTTGTTCGGTTTTCAATGGAGACATGCTATTAGATTCAGTGCCAGTGCATTCCTTCGTTATGTTTATTGTTGTTCGATAATAAAATCAAAATTGACCACTATCACAAAAAAAAAGGATTACGACATTCAGTGCTTCTTTCAGTCCCCCAGCCTAGGATGTGGTCTTTCCCAATAGGTGTTACACCATCATCATTGCCATTACTTGTTTTTCATTCTTCTAAGCAATTTCAAAATGCCTTGGAGGAATTTGATGTTGGGTTTTCACGTTCTTGTCTCGTTTGACTATTTCACTCTTCTTGTCTTATTTTGATAACTTTGTGTTGTTTGTTGTTGTTTTTGTTAAATGTCTTGCTGTTGTTAGTTTTTTGTTAACCTTTAAGGTTAATTGCATTCTTAGGCGTTTCATTTGCCTCCCATCTAAGCGCATAGCCAGGCTAGGCTGCCAATGATTTCATCCATCCATCCTTTTTTGTTTGTATATATATTTTTTTTTTCGTTGCTCAGTCACGAAGTTGTCGTGTCAAGTCATTACTGGGAAAATGTTAGTTAAATGAACTACTGTAATTGGTATTAAGACCCCACTCCTTGCTGCCAGCCAATGTCACTGTCATTTTTCTTTGATGAAACTTGATTGTCGCTGCTACGTGGAGAAGGATTCTCAGATTCAAAATATTAAATAAAACATGGAAATAAATAAAATAATTAATAAATCCTTATATACAGGGTGAGATGAAAAAAACTGCAACAAAGTCAAACGCCATAATTTGTCCATTTTTTTAAATTATATTGAATGAAGGCAAAAAATGTCGGAGATAGCATCAAATTTTAGAATAAGTTTAGATTTGTTCGAACTGGTCACCTTTAGCACGAATTATGGCCTTCAAACGGCCAATGAATACGTCACACGCTGCCCGAATGTTGCTCTGCGGTTTTTTGGCCCATTCCCGGCGAAGCGCTTGCTTGAGGTGATCGACACTTTGGTATTTTTTAGCGTCAACCTTGCGCCAACGGATTGGTATCCGGGGACTTTTGGTGGCCATTGTTCGCTGGAAATGAAGCGAGGAACCTCATTTTGTAACCATTCTTGGGTGGCGCATGCTGAGTTCTGTTGGAATGTCCAAGGTGTGCGGTCAAAATGTTTGCGTGCCCAAGGCTTTAGTACACCACCCAGAATATTTTCGCGATAATATTTAGCATTTATTCTGATGCCACTGTCGATTATTACGAGCGGAGAACGATCATCGGCTGTTATAGAGGCCCACACCATTACCATGTCCGGCGCTTGAGTTGTGGTGGCCAACCGAAGGTGCACATTTTCAGCTGAACTCTTTGGCAAGTAAACACGCTCATTTTGTTCTTTTACAAACTGCTGGACTGTGCTGGACGAATGTTTTCTCATAGGAGAAACTCAAATTCGGCAGTTCACCACTTTCGGCCGAGCAAGGCAACTCTAGCTCTTTTGAGATTATTTTCTTTGTGCTGCGATGTAAGTACTTGCACTTTTTGGAATTTCAATGGCTTTACCCCGAGCTCATTTTTCAATATTTGCCGAATGGAATATTGCGATATGTTCAGCTCACGAGCTATTTTCTGCCACTGCGACGAGGGCTTCGATCAAGTCGCTTCTTTACTTTTCGAACCATTTCTGCTGATTCTGCTGTTTTCTTTCGTTCACTTCCTTGACGTCGGGCTACGCTACCAGTATCACGGTAACGAGCGATGGTACGAGACACAAAAGATGAACTCACATTTAAATGCTGGAGTGCTCTAAAGATAGCCACTTATGGTTTTCCAGCCAAATATAAAGAAATCACACTATCGCGCTTGAATTCCATCACGAATAACTTTTTTTGTGGAAAATTCTCACCAAAATGCTTTTGTTCGCTTGTAAACAATGTAATTAGCTGTCACTAATTTTAAACGCTGTCGGACGAGTGGCTTAGAAATGACAGAATTCTGAAGTTTTTCATCTCCCCCTGTATTGGTTAAACTTGGATTTTTTCTAGCAGGTTGAGATTATGATAAAAGAAGTTGAAACAAAATTTTACTCGTAACTAAAATTTTCTTTTCTTTTTACATTTTCCTAACAGGTTGATGTTATCCCAGAACTAGTTTCAAAATTGCAAATGTTTTACTCTTAAATTAAATATTATTATTTTTTATATATTTATTTCTTTTTTTCAGATATCCTGCCGAAGTTATATCTGTTGATACATCTGGTAAACGTTTTCAACGCATGTGTATGGCACGTAAATCGACAACGGGTGTTTTCACCACAATGCCCGATACGAACAATCTGAACGATGATGTACAAACTGTAGCCAGACGTTCGAGATCACGTAAGGCACGCGGCAAACGGCGCAACACAATAGCCGGCATTGATCAAAAAGAAATACAAAGCGCAGCCAATGGGTATGTTTTTCCAACAACTACAACTACTACCACTATTATTATTATTATTCTTATTAATAATTTAAAGTATAATATAAAACATATTATTAGTGCTATTCATGTGCTCCATATACCATCAGAGGAGTTATGTTTCTTTTTTAAGTTTACTTTAAATAGGCTATTTATTTTATGTTAAATAATGAATATGTTCAGATTGGAAGTGAAGCGCAGTTATGTTGTTGTTTTCTTTTTTTTTTTTTTCAAAATTTATTGTAAATATTCTTAACATATTCATTATTGACATTTATACCTTGACTAAGTTATATTTATTGATATTTATTTATATCTTAGTTTTTTATCTCTTTATGTACCTTATTTTATTTTTTAATGCAAATGTGATGTAGTCGTTGAAATGGAGCGTTTACATGCAAAATCTCTACTCGGATTAACTTGATAATCTTAATAGATTTAACGTATGTTTTCCATAGTCTAATTTATCCACTGTCAAGTTTATTAAAATTGAAGATTTGCATGTAAACATACTTTACGAAGTAATTTGGGGAGAAAATGTGATATGAGTTTTAGTTTGACAACATGGTAAAAGAATACAGGTAGTCGCATCGACACAGCTGCTGGGACAATGAACTGTCAAACCGATTTTGATATTGAAAATCGTGATTGAAAAATTATTAAAAATTGATGAAAAATGTATTGTATAATAACCTCGGATTTTCGTCGTATAAAAAACATTTAAAAATCGACATATTTTTTCATAAAACATTTTAAAATTTTTGACATATCAATGTTCCCAAGCGTTGATGCATCTACCTATATTCTTCTACCATGCTTTGACAACCACCAGAGTAATCGCAATCACAGCAGATAATCAGACTAAATGTTTTAATACCTAATTTTGATTGAAATTTGCTACACAAAATGTTAACAAATAGTAAAACAATTTTTACTATTAGTCTCATTGATGGAACATTTTAAGCTCTGCTCCTTTACTTGCAAGAATCTTCAACTCATTGCTCGAAAACGTGTTCCCTTACACAAAAAATATCACAATTGAAAGGAGAGCCATATTCACGCAATTTTTGCAAATTTGCCAACAAATGTTTGAAATAGCAGTTTTGTGTAGTTAACAATCAAACTACTCAAATTTAACGGAGAGAGTTATAACATTAAGTCTCTCTGGTAAATTTTAAAAGAGGAAGGCGTTTTCATTCTCTTTTGCAAAAAAACTGCCAGCAAACAGCTGATTTGTCAAAACAAAACAATTAGTCCGGCATAAAAAGAAATATTTTAATAAAAATGGTTGAGCCTCTAAGGAGCAGGTTCCGAAGGAATGGTCCAACATTGTCCATTACGTATTGAACCTAAATAAATATGATATAAATATTGCGACGTACCAGGTTTGGACTACATTGGTTACTTCCTTTACTTTATATGAGATATATAAAAAAATTTAGAAAATGATAAACTGTACGTGAGTTACCAGATATAGTCGATCGAAGTGTTCCATTTTCATACTTCATCTAATACAGACAAAAATATTGATATGAGCCAAATTGCAAGAAAATCGAATATTATATCCAATCTTATGCGAAATCATAAAATTCATATTCGTCTCAGGTTTCTGGTTGTATAGAATCGCTGACTTGTTTCGCAAGTTATGACAGACATTGTTACCCTTTTTGGGTGAGGTACCAGAAGAGGTTCGCAAATATATATTATCTTACTTATTTCGCTATGTTTGAGTGTTTTTCAAAATCGTGAACCCTATATGGGGGAGGTATCAGAAGAAATGGTTCCATCCTTACCATCGTTATAACAGATCTTTTGTTGATGGAAACATTGAGATGTACCAAGTCTGAATGGTATCGGATATTAATTTTGCGTTTTATGAGCTTTATAGATATCCAAAATTTTGACTCTTTGTGGGGGAGGTACCAGAAGGAGTGGACCGCTATATCCCATGTTTACAGCAGATTTTTGTTAGTAAAAATAATGGGATGTGTGAATTATTAAGATAACCGGATGCTTATTTCGGATTTTATAATCGTTTTGTTTATTCAAAACCTTGATCCTTTGTGGCGGAGGTATCAGAAGGAATGGTCTGATCTTTACCATCGTTTTAACAGATCTTGTGTTGATGGAAATATTGAGATGTACCAAGTGTGAATGGAGTCGGATGTTAATTTCGCCTTTTATGAGCTCCATGGATATTCAAAATGTTGACCCTTATTGGAGGAGGTACCAGAAGGAGTGGGCCGATATATTCCATCTTCATACCAGATCATGGGTTAATAAAAATATTGTGCTGTATGTAATTTGAATACAATCTGAATCTTACATCACATTTTAGAATTACTTAAAATTTCGACCCTTTTTTGGTGGGGGTATAGGATGGAGTGGACCGATACCATTTTCCATTTTCTCACCTGATCTAGCACTAATGCAAATATTAGGATTCGCAAAGTTGGAGCAAAATCGGATTATCCTTTCTCCTTCTGTGTAATAAAATAATTTTTTTGAAAATGTCGACCTTTTGTGGTGGAGTAAACAGAAGTAGTGGACCGATATTGCCCATCTCCGAACTCGATCTAAGTTTGATAATAATATTACGATGTACCAAGTTTGGACCAAATCGGATACTATCTTCGAGAGCTATCGTGCGCACCAGCCAGCCATACGAACGGATCGCGAGATCGACTCCAAATGTTCTAAAACGGATTTGGTCCAAAGAGAGAAGAGAGGGACAAAACTGTTATTTCGATAAGGCACGTTTTGACCGTATCAAATGATATTTCTTGCCATATTGCTGAGGATATAAAAATGGGCTTTTATAAATTTGATTTCAATTTTTTACACTAAAATCAATCATCGGATACTCTAACAGGAAGAAGAAGGGTTGCAAGAAAAAAGAAAGAATTTGCAAATTCTCAGTAAAAAAGGTGGTAAAATTTCTCTCTGAAATCCTGTCTCTTGCAGAACTTCTGTGTTAACATTAATAACAATCCGCAGCAATTGTTATAAATTTCAGGATAATCAGACAAACTTATTGGCGTTAATTTGGTTCCAACTAAAGCCTTGGGAACAACTCTAGTTCAATTGCGGACCATAATTTATGCTTGCTTTACGCTTCTGTGTTCTTTTACAAAGAAGCCTGTCAAAAAAACGTTTTAAGGCTTTTTATTCTCTATTAAAGTTAAACAGACGAACTATTCCTTGAATTCATTGTAGATTCTTTTCGATGAACTATCTTATATTTTGTATTTTTTGAAATATTTCCGAAACATTTTCTCTTTCCAAAATCCCACATCCATCCATGGAATCTATGTGACTTTTGATTAACTTGTTGTTTTAAGGTAAGATTACATAAAATGCTTTTTTGAATGGCTTAAGTCATCAGCTGGTTTCTTCGGAAAAGATCAAAGGAGCGTAGGGTCAAAATCGAACTAAGTCAACCTAAAACTCCTTTGTATGTAGCCAGTCAAAAAATTGTAAATAAAAATTTATTTTTATCAAAGAAATAGATTTCAAATAACAAAAACGAACTTTTCATAGAAAAAGAAGCTATCCCCAGAGTAATTTAGAACTGGAATGTTTCTTTAAAATAGAACTTCTTACTACTACACACATCCACATTTGCATTAAAAAATAAATAAAATCAATTTTTGTATTATATTTTTATTAAATAACTTATTTATTTATTTATAACCAAAACCCAAGTAATTTGAAATTATTGTGATTTTGAAAGTGTTTATTTGTTGTTTCTTTTTTTCTCGTTTTTTTTTTGCCATACCATTTGTTTTAATTTCAAACTTATTTTCTTTCTTTTTTAAAATCCCCCTCAACATGTTATGTTAAAGCATTTGTTATGCTGTCTTTGGAATACCCAAATTTTTATTTGGTATGCAAAAAAGTAATTGATTTCTTTTTCCTTTAATATTTTGTTTTCAACTCACAATTGAAAACGAAAACAAATACGTTATGCATTTTATTTGCTCGGCCTGAGTGTTGTTGTTTTATGTTGCACTTGAAAAATAAAAATAGCAACCAAAGAATGAGATATGTTAGCTCCAAGAATGCTCCAAAAAATAAATAACCGGCACCAATTGAGACCTCAGTTATTAAACAGCATGTTTAGCTAAAAGAAAATCATAGTTTTCTTTGTAAATACCTTTGTTATGTTATCTGTTATCCTTTGTGTGTTCGCTGTCGCTCTTTGTGTTATGTATGTATATATGATGTTTTCATAAAAATATCCTGATTTTTGCAATTTAAAATCAATGTGGAATTTTATTTAGCAAATTCAATTTTAGCAAAAAAAATCAGCAGCTTAACAATATTTGCCGCCTTTCTGCTGCTGCGCCAAAAAAAAAAGATATACATTGCGCCACATAACTAATCCAATATTCTAATTCCCACAACAATTTTCTTGTCATGTCATTCATCATGTCACACATTCATTCATTTCATAGACACTTTTTTCATTTCATATTTGTTATTGTTTTCTTGTACATACATACAAAATTAATTTTTTAGCAGTCATGCCTTCATTTGGATCATTATAAAATATTTTTCAATCTCATAAATTTAAAAAAACGCACAATACAAATTCTGAGAGATTTTCATAAAAAATTAAAAAGATGATGATAAAATCCAAATACCATTAGAAAGTTCAATTCGTCTTTCAAACTTATAAAAAAAGGTTGTTATTATTTTTAATAAAGTGTATTTTTTATAAATATTTAAATATAAACAAGTTAAAAAGCAGTAAGTTCGGCCGGGCCGAACTTTTAATACCCTCCACCATATGCAACGAATTTGAAAATTTTCAAAAAATAAAATCCTTAAAAAATTCTGTTAAAATTTTAAAAATACCGAATATAGCCGTTATTTTAGGGTCTATACGACGTGGACATACATAGGCATTGTTTGTCATTCAAATTCGAAACTTGAAATAAACGGTGTATAATGTAGCTAAAATCATCAAAATATCGTATATAAGGAGG